GGGTCGGAGGGATTTCATTCATGAATGTCCTCCTTCCGGTGTTGTGTGTTTCATGACCAACGCATTGCAAGTGGTAAAATGTTTAGTGTGCCGCTGCTGAATCGTCTATGAGCGACGTCTGAGCACCTCCATTCTCTCCTCTTCACGTCGACCCGCGTCCTCCGATGTTCCTGGGGAAGTTGTGGGTTCTGTGGTGCCTAGTGGAAGGAACGCAACGACGTCTTCTTTGCCAGTCATCCATTCCATGCTTGCTGCCTCTCCTAACACCTCATACCTCATCGCCAATGCTGCAACTTCCACGACCAGTGAACTGAACCTCCCACCATGCATTACGTCACCCATAAGCTTACAACAACTTGACGCGAAAGTGAGGGCAGGTGCCCTCTCGAAAGAGCCCACATTTGCGATATACTTTCCGTAGTGCTACGGTTGCTTTCCACGAGCTCAGCTTTGCCAATTTGTTTGGTCGTCGGTGGCAGGAACACCTCACATCGGTCATCCGCCCACCTCTCCACCCTGTTGGGCAGATGATTGTTGGGCTGATGCCAGGGCAGGTGGCAATAAGCATCACAAGCAATTAGTAGTATATAAACTTGGAGAATGTGCCCTCCCTTCCAGCACAATCATCCAGGTAGGTAGGTAGGTAGGTGGGACCACGTGTTGTAAATTTGTCGCATTTGCAGGCTCTGCGTACATTGACAACGCGTGGTCTTGGAGGAGTTGGAGTATCAGGGTGGAATTTGAGAGAAGGATTGAGGCCATTTCTCAACACCTTGCCCAGTTCCTAATGTCCTTCCGCCGAAAGTGATGCTGGAGATTGGTGGGCGGAGGAGTGACCGGTGAGTGGGTGCGTCTGCATTGCACCACTCACCAGTCAGTCAAAGTTGGTGCCCACTTCGGAAGTGCAGTGAGGACACGCAGTAGGGGAGGCAGAACTGGAGACTGGATAGTGAGGACGAGGAATTGGATGTGAGGTTGAAGGTAGGGCGAGTAGCGGAAGCCTCCGTATCGGCGAGTGGAGGATGCACGTTGTCGGTGAAGCGATAGGCGACATTGCCAGGAGGGAGGTAGAAGCAGGCAATGACGATTTCCACCTCAACTCGTCCT